TGTTGCAGTTTTAAGCAGTGCTTTTGAATAAGCACTAAAATTATCTGATAAACTGACGTTTATGCAAACATCTTAAAACTGAATTATTTTTCTTTTTTCCGTCAATATTTATGACTTTTTACAATGCTTATAATTTATTATCAGTTTTGCAGTATTTGCTTACGCACTAATAACTGTGAATACGTTCGTTACTTATTTTTTTAAAAAAGTGGACGAACATTTATATAAATGTTAAAGTTGTGTCACTAAAAAAAATAAAGTGTATTTTATGTGTGATATTGACAAACACAATGTAAATACTGTTGAACAACAGCTAAAATTTGTTTTACAGATGGGCCAACCGGAACTTGCTAAAAGAGTTAAGCCTGAAATTATATCTATACCCGGTTTTGATGACCTAAAATTGATCCGACCAAAAGCTTTTCCAGACAGTAGAGGTTTTTTTATTGAATCATATAACATTTCTGATTGGGAGTCAAAACTGGGATTTTGTGAAATTTTTAAACAGGTAAAATTTTGCACTTTTTAGTTCTTTATTTTTATTTTTTTTTACTGCTTTGTTCACATGTTGTTGTTTTGCAACATCATCTGGAAAATGTTTTAAAGGACAATCATTCGTTCTCAAAATTTGGCGTACTTCGTGGATTACATATCCAACCAGGTATGGGTAAACTTGTTACTGTGATATCTGGTAAAATTTTTGATGTTGCGGTTGATGCAAGGCCAGATTCAAAGACTTATGGAAAATGGCATGCAGAAGTTCTTGATTCCACTCGACCGCATTTTTGGATTCCCGATGGCTTTCTTCACGGCTTTTATGTACGTATACTTAGTTTAACTTTGTATTAAATGATTTAAAGTTATTTGCCAGGAGCATTATCACTGTAAAAGCTATCAATTAAATTTTTACGAGTAATAAGTAAAACAGTATCAGTTATGTTGTGGTTTTTAGACTATGTCTCCAGAAGGAGCTCATGTTGTCTACAAGTGCACAGACGTATACAATCCTGATACGGAGTTTGGTGTAGACCCATTTGATCGTGACATTGCTGTCTCATGGCCAATATCTAAGAAGGAAGACCTGATTATCAGTGATCGAGATCGGTCACATGGCAGTTTTAGATCAATTTTAGAAAAATTTGACGTAATATTGTAAATGTTAGTTAGGTTAGCGTTCTCTTTGTCGAACATATCAATTGACGATGAACTAGACTACTTTCAAATGTCAGATTTTTTCAGGGCTGCAAAACGGTACAGAGCCTTGAAAGATTAAAAATTTATAGAAAAAAAAGTTATTTATTGTTGTATTATTGTTTTGTTTTATGTGTATTTTTTGTAAATTTATGTTAATAATGGGGAAAAAGGTGTTGAATGATGCTCCATTATTATTCTTATCACTTCTAAGAAGCGATGGGCAAAAAAAAGATCAGTTTTTAAACAATCACTATGATAAAGTCAATTTTGATTTTTTTCTCCTTATTTCTATCTGCATGTTTTTACTGATGTCACTACACTTGTTCATTTAATTTTAATCAAGCACTTAGTGCATTTTTTCTTTACAACTTTTTTTGGGGGGTTTATTTTTTTCATTTTTATTTTTATTTTTTTTTTTTTGTTGACTTATTTGTCTATAAATGAGGAATACAAATAACCCAACAAATAGCATTGTTGTTTTAGAAAAATGATAAAGGTGCTTTGTTTGCATTAAAAAATTAATTTTACAAACTTGTACCCCAAGCTCCAAAAACAGTTCTTTCAAGTTTTTTCTCTGTCCAGCACAGTATTTGTCTGTGATAAATTTGTTCGTCTAAGGAGGCTGCTTTTGTTGCTTTTATCAGTATCAGCAAATATGCACTGCACAATTGCCGGAATTAATAGGTTTATATTTTAGCCGACCAGGACAGTTTACAGATTAAAAAAAAACGACGTCATCCATTAGCTGCTGTATTTCCAAAGTAGGCTTTGTGATACAACTGAAACCACTGTATTCTGTAATGTTGACGAAAGAACAAACTTTTAGGAAGTAAAGGAATAATGGCATTGTAGCCAGGCAAGAAATCAACGAAGCAATTGTAGAATCATTTTTAAAAGACTACAGAGAGCGGTTTGCAAAGTTTAAAAGTATAGATGAGCAGTAAGAAACCACCACTTAACTATTTCTGTAAAAAGAACCATTGCATTTTGGAGATCGTGATTTTACTACTATCACTGAAAAAAAACTAAGTAGTGATGATGGATAATACGGGGTCATAAATCAAAATTACACGCGAAATACTCGATCAGTACCTAAATCAATTGGAGAGAAAAAGATGTGAAAACAATGATTAGTTTACGCAATCACAATGGATAATATGTGTTAGCACTGTACAATCTTTCAGCTGTTTAAAACTGGTCAGCTTAGACAGTGAACTTTGTTTGAGGTGACAAGATGGTGCTGTATGACAAGCGACAGAGATCTGGACGGGGGTAAAAACTAGTTGATATACTACCGAAGGGCGAGGCAAGATTTCCAACTATCTAGCCTCCTTTATCCGCACCACATCGAAAAACGCCCTGCTACATGAATTAGGCTATACTTGAACACCAATATTTTTGAAAATATTGGCTGCTAATCCAAATAAGTTTTGGATTGTGTGCCCATAGCACCTACTTGGTTTACTTTTTTCCGCGCGGCTTAAAGTTGGCCAGCCATTTTGACAGGTAAGTTTAAAGATATTCAGATGGAATTGAATTTTGTTAAATGATAATTGAGAGAGGTTCTGGGAAAAATTTTTCCTTTTGAAGTCCTCATTTTACGCAGCAATGCTCACTCTATTTAATTGGATCAAGATTTAGGTT